TTATTTTTTAGGGTGAGATCTTTTTCTCGCTAGATCGATATTAACCGTGCGATTGATGATTGCGCCTAAGTATTCGAATTATTTCACTATCTCCAGTTGCTGGCGACTAATTGTGAGTGGTGTTCTAATGGGTTCCCCACTATTTCTCATCAGTTTTATTTTCTCACCGTTGACTTCTCTGCCATATCTGGATTCTGTTTCGTCCAGACACCTCACCAGGTTAACCAGTTCGCTTTCACTTCCAGACAGACTGTCAATGTATAAACCAAAGAATCGGAATAAAATTGAGGGCTGTAAAATGCACACAATCTCTGCGGATGTGTAACGCTACACGGTTCATAGTATCCTTGAGTATCATATATCCATGTGTCTAAAAAGCAACTAATCTTGTTCAATTAAAACAACTGTTGGGTAAAAATAAACAGAGTGCTTTAGAGGTATACAGACATGTTCCTAATAAAAGCTGATTACTTGACCTTTAATTTGTTAGCTTTGAAATTCTCGTCAGGCGCGGGACCACAAAATAAAAAGGAGAGGATAAATAATACATATCTTATTACATGGAGAAATCAGGGACTATATTCTGTCTGAGAGGCGTATATTTCTAGCCTAGCCCATTTTATACCAGGGAGTATAAAATGGTTGAGCTTAATTTATGTCTCGAGTTTAAAACAGCCTATCGAAGAATGACTCCGAGAATAATACTGGATTTTACGTCGGTTGTTGTTGTTGTTGTTGTTGTTGTTGTTGTTCTTCTTCTTCTTCTTCTTCTTCTTCTTCTTGTCGTCTCCCTTCAGGATTTGGGTGATCAGGGCTCTCCACAATTTTTTGTCCTTTATCTTTCAAAGTAAATTTTGACTTTTCGCTATCTCTCCTAATCCCTTTTCTGTCAATCATTTACACCCTCTCTTTAGGTATGTAAGGTGCGGCTTTCACCTCTGCCTCTTCTGTGTGCTGTGTTCCTTCAGGGTGTAAACGATCATGGCTCTCAACAACTTCTTGTCCTTTGTAGCTCTTAGTAATATTTGTCTTTTCACTATCTCTCCTAATCCCTGTTCTGCCAACCATTTACAGAAGGTCTTTAGGCAGGTAAGGCGTTGCTTTCCTCTATCCCTCTTGTCTTTAATATGTTCTGTCAGTGTCAAATTTCCCAAACCCTCTTTCTTCATCATATGTTCTAGAAAGTTCAACTGCCTCTTTCTGGTGTTAAGTATAAATGTCCTTTTTGTTTCCAGTTTCTCTAAAATTTTGTTGTTGCTCACATCTTTTCTCTTGCTTAGCTTCTCTTCTTATCGCTGAGGTGGCTGTCCAGCATTAACTGCTGTATAAGAGAACTGCTATTAGGTAACAGTTTAGTACTCATTTCTTTGATTCTTACGATATTTTTCTGTTTCTTAAATACATTAAATTATGCTGGACGACTGAGTTTACCGAACGATAGAATTTCGGATGAGAAATGTTCGTCTTTATGTGTGTATCATCTTCAGATCTTATCTCTTGGATAACTGTATACAGACATTTCCAGCACAAAGATAGAATTAGTTATCTTTGAGTCATTGCTGGCTTTGAGATTTCTACCTTGATTTATCATTTAATCTGCCTAAGCAAAATCACAGGATGGGCAGTTAGTGTAACGTATATTTAAGTGGAATCGGCGTGTTGAGTTCAGTTTCCGGGCTAAGTAATTGCGTTCTTTTTTGTCCGAATGTCCTTCGGAAAGGCCTGAACTCATCTATTTTGCTTCTAGTTATGGGCTAAATAGCGGGGTAAGTTGGCCTCTCTAGCCCTGAATGGCAACTAGTTTAAGAGATGGAATACGCTGAAGATAACGGGAAACCACTCTAGTCTTGGCAATTCACAGATGAAAAGAAAAATTAATTTGTGAATAGTCATGATCGCTTGCGACCTCAATGCATATGACATTAAAAATGCACAATAATGGATCACTCAGTTAAAATCGAACTCACTGGGAACAGCTTGCGAAATTAACTAGAAAAGCCGAGTCTGACAGAAAGTTACAGCTGTAGCCAGTAAAATCGAAGACATCATAGAAATTTTTCGAAAAAAATACTTTACAACCATTCGTAGACTTTTGGCTGGGATCGATCGTGTTTCGTTTTCAGTAAAGACACGGCATGAATTTAAATGAAAACGTCAACTCCGTAGTTACAACACCTCATTGGTCTAACAGTGTCGACTGTGGGTCTGGGTTGCCCTAACGCCTTTATGTAACTGGCCGCAAAGGACTGGGTAATTTTTATCTCTGTTTACGCGTCCGCGTGGTGGGGGATTTATATTAAGCCGGATCTTGTGTCATAATTGACCTAGACGGGGTGGCGGGCACAAATAAATACCATCTTTTTACGTTGGGCATTCGTTTCCTTTCTGTTTAAAGAGGTGTTAAAAATCGGAGGTCATGATAATTACTAATTTATTTTTGACACAGAAACACATTATTAAAGAACACTGTTTAGATCGAATACACCACACTTATTGGCAAGTGTCGTAAGTTCAACTAGCACATTTTTACTATGCCTGTGATATTTGCTAATCTCAACTTTGTCATACTAAACTTCAAACAATACAAAGCTGAATGACTGATGAGGTATGTGTGATATGAATGAAAGAGAAGGTAGAAAAAAGTGAAGATTATGAGGACATATAACTATCGATGTTTGACTCGTAGTGTTGATGAAAGCACCCACTTGTTCCACTAAGTTGGAGTTCTCGGGGGAAAAAAGCTGTTTACGTGCCTAAATTGATAGTTGTTTGCAATTGTAGAAAGATTTTCTTTAATCTTCCGCGTAAGCCCTATCAATCAAATTGATGGATACCTGAAGATGACCAAAGGGTAATTGACCGAAATGTTGTGTCTAAAATAACGTCTATAACGAATAAAATTTAAAACGAATAATTATTTACTATTACGAATTATTGCCGTTAGAAGAGATTTTTTTTAAAATGCTGATGAAACGCAGATGATGTCCTAACACCTTTGGGACATTGGTCGCCAGGAAATCGGTAATTTTTATCTCTACGTACACGTCAGTTTTAGGGTGGGGGTGGGGGTATATTAAGCTGCATCTTGTGTCAAAATTGCTCTAGAAAACAACAAAAAAATCTTCGGGTTACTTGATAACATAATGTATATGACAAATATGCATTAGGTTGATGCAAAAGATCTTAATGTTATTATTTGTACAAGGTTAGAGAAATTTTAGAAGCTCACGTTTCCTCGTGATTTTTTATTGCATGAACAGTTAGTCAATTTTAATTCGCTGATTACATGTCTGAGGAACACATTCTGAAGCTAGGAGAACGTGAACTAATGGAAAACAAAATCATTCAGCGTTGCCATTCTTCTTTTTGCTCGAGATGGGAAAATTCAGTTTTCAAAAAAATAGGCACTGTCAATGAATAACGAAAATTGCCAAATTTAGTTTCTATAAATTTAAACAATACAGAATTTAGATTTGTTACCCTTCTCGATTTCGAAAATAAATTACGAGAAAGATAATAAATCGACTTTGAAACAAGAACATAATCATGGAAAGTCTAGGAAGAGGTCAACAATACCTTGCATATTTGTTCACGCTGTTATACTGCGGTGGATAATCTAGGTTATAGAATGTAGAGCCTGTGCGGTGGCTCCCATGATCCCACTGAAAACTGAACTTTTTACATTTGCATTTTTAGGTCTAACTGGACCCTTTCTTAGTTCCTTGTTTAGGTCCACTTGTCTTCTCATTACACTTTCATAATTTCTCAACGAAAAATTCAAAAGCTTATGAAAAGTATTCTTAGAGTATTTTATTGCTTCTGAAACGGTAAAAAATGATTTTGTAGTATCATACAGGGGTCGGCAATCCTCGGCCCCCGAGCCACAAGATTTTCGTCTGTCCGCCAGCTTAAAACCTGAACCCACTTACAATGCGACGAATTTAAAAAAAACAAACAAACTTTAATTCCGAATCCACTGCTAACTTCTACAAGAAATATGTTTTGCCAAGCGCAAAATATAAAAGCTCATTAAATAATACGAAAATAATGTTGTCATTATTTCAAATAATACGAAAATAATGTTGTCATTATTTCAAAGTGCATATGCCTGTGAACAACTTTTTTGAGAAAATGAAATATATTAAAAGTCGTTTTTCGAACAAGTTTGGGTGATGACCACCTGGATGATTTTCTCCTGTCATCGACAAATATTTCACCTCATGTGGAGATGTTATCGAACAATAAAAAGAAACAAGTTTCTCGTTAAATAATTTGCCCTTTCTAACTGTATTTCATTTGTAGTAAGGAGTTTGCTTTTTTTGGTGATTGTGTTAGTTGTTATCCTGTTATTCCTGCAATAAAATAAGGAACCCTGTTTAGATAATATACCATTGACTTCATTGTTTCTTCTTTAAACCCCCAGACCAAGGCAGCCTTCTGGAAGAAACGGTCTAAGCTCGAGACAATTTATTATAGTACATTTGATATCAGGGCCCTCCTCCGAGACACTGCATAGCTTTCTGGTCCGCTCTCTACAAAAAGAAAATCTATGATGGCACCAATAATTAGAAGATGGTCTTGGAGGCATCATAGCATATTTTATTATTTTTTCTCAATTAAAATGCGAAAGAAAGCAAAAAAGAGTTCCCCTACAGTCTAAAATCATGTGCTTTAAAGGAGTTTGTTTTGTGATAATAGTTGGTTTTTTTTTTTTTTTTTTTTTTTTTTATTTTGTTTTTTTAGCGGCGTAACAAACTCTATGGGTTATTTAATGCCAAAATCAAAATATTTTCTACGGAATTTTATTTTTCATTTTTAGAGATAATAATGGTTTTAGTGATACAAGTATTACTAATTAACCCATAGCTGGGGGAGAAGAGTTGGATTCATACCTTTTTCAATGGTATTTGCGCGTAAGTGAATATAACGAACCCAACTGGAATTGGAAATCAATTAAAAATTCCGAGCCATTATCCATCACACCACCTGTACATCCAACTTTACAGCACCAGATATTACCAAGCGGTCACCCATCTAGCTACTGAGCAGGCTTGACATTCCTTAACTTCGATGATCGTACGGGAATCAATGTTTCAATGTGATGTGGCCGTAAGCCTTGTGAAAAATTCTGTCATAATTTCACTTATTTAATAATAAGTTCACATGTCACCATTATATTGCCAAAATTTAAATTCCCTACAAAATAACAAACAAAATATAGTCTTATGGTTGAAGTACCATAATTATAATTCTTACTTGTTAGTCACCGTATTTGACGGCATATAAGACGCACGGGTGTATAAGACGCACCCAGATTTTATCAGGGAAAATCAAGAAAAAATTAGCAATTCGTAAAATTAGTAAAATTATTGCCATCCATTGTTCCATTGCTCCTTCATGTTTAAGTCTAAACTCATAGAAGTTGCCAGGTAGCTAATTTCGGTCGTCTTTCGCGAATTTTAAACTTACATATAAGACGCAGGAGAATTTAAAAAATAAAAAAAAAAATAGTAAAATAAAAGCGCGCCTTATATGACGTCAAATACGGTAGTTAGTTAACACGTACATTACGTCCTTCCAATACCTTATAAATAATGGACTATTCTATTTCGAACGCGAGAAAGACGGAAAAGAAATATCAAAAAACATTTTGGTTTCAGTGAAAGAAAGAAAGGAAGAAAGAAAGAAAAAAAATAGACCAGGTGATAACAATGTCTGCTTCAGTGAAACGGAAAATCTTGTAAATTTTAAATATTTTTATTTTTACCCTCTTAATAATCTACATTCATACTTATGATTGTTATTGCAATATTTTGTTAAAAGTTGTTAAGCTCAAATATTTAACGATGCGACAGGGGAATTTCTACGCATATTTTATTGTCGCAGAACTTGCCATAAGTTTAATCATTAACTGAAGAATTAAGATAAAAAAAAACATTTGAAACTTTCATGGATACTATTAATATACGCAGGAAGGTTTTTACTTGATTCTTTTTATAAGTGATAAGTATATTTTGCACATTTATAGGGTATCAGATATTTATACAGGGGCGCAATTTTAATGCCTTCCTATAGGTGACACTTTCTATAGATATTTCTTTGGAATGATGTCTTCTGTAACAGACTTGAGCACTTCGGGGTGGTGCAATGGTTAACAAGCTTGTCTCTCTATACCAATTACGACTGAGTAGTGAGTCCGATTCTCACTTTGTGTTCCATGCATTTGGCCTTTTGCCACAAGTAAGCTAAACTTACTAAAATTGCCCTCCGTAACAGACTGGGCATATGTCTTCCGCGATATTTTTAACAACACTCTCTTCAATGCTCTCTCTATATATATCTATCTCTCTCTCTCTCTCTCTCTCTCTCTCTCTCTCTGTTTTTTTTCTCTCTCTCTGATTTTGTTTTTTTTTTTTAATGACCACCGACCTAGCTCATAAACAATCCATTTGACATATTTTGATAAGAAGCCATAAAGAAAGAAATATTTCCAGCCTGGCTGGTGTATAATTTCTCCATGATTGTTACAAGCATGCAAATCTGCAACGTCGACAAATGTTTATTTTTTTATATCACTTGGAGGTTAAATTACATTACGTTGAATATTTTAAATCACAACAATTTCTATTGTCCTCAACTTCAAAAATTTGGCGCCCATTGTTATGACGTGACATTTGTCCTTCTCTACTCTCTCCAGAATATCTAAGCGGAAAGCCTTACTAGTTGAACTGACCAGTAACCAATAAAGAGCGTTAAGTGTATTTAAAAAAATAACAAATGTAGTACAGTGGTCGAGGTTTCGGTCCTGAGATTAAATTTATGTATTTAATAAGTAATATAAGTGTCATTGTTATATCTTAAAAGGAAATAATCTTGTAACGTTGCAAAAGGTGATTAACAGGAAGAATTGTCTTGCATCTGAAGGGGCCGCTGTGAGTCACGGGAAGGGATGTTGGCCAGGATAGCCAGTTACATTTCGGTTAACCACGGCGGACAACATAGATACTATGCATTTTTAAATAGAAATCTAAGATATATGTCACCAGGGGTGTACCGTGTCCATCTTGGGGGCGTTATAAGTAAGACCTTTTTATTCCTCCTTTTCATATACTACTTGCCTATTTACATGTGTTTTCATTTCTGTGTGGAACAATTTGTGATATATATATATATATATATATATATATATATATATATATAAATAATAATAATAATAATAATAACTTTTGGATAATAAGTGCGACATTACTGTATTTATTGAACAATATAGTTCATGCCACTTTGACAGAAAAATTTACCAGTAAAAATTCGTTTATCACCATATTTGTACATGAACGCACAACTGTAAAAAATTTAAAATCAAACTCAGCGTTACTACTGCGCGCTCCAAAAACAATAACTCATTTTCACTAGCATTTTCGGATACAACAATACATATATTTTCGTTGTCCTCTTACTACTAAGAGAAAAAACAAGAACAACATCTATTCCATACCTGAAGATGTCTGTAGGAACAGACGAAAGCTTATAGTAAAAATAAGAACTAATGCGGCAGAAATTTATAGAAACAAGGATCTTTTCATTCATAACGGATTCGGAGGTTTTTGTATATTATTTGAATTGTTTGCGACGATGGATTTCTCGCCAATTAAATCATTAACCTTTGCATTTGTTTTTGTGTGAATAATTCATGAATATATATATATATATATATATATATATATATATATATATATATATATATATATATATATGGATTTATTGCATTTTAGTATTGATTGATGGATTCGTTGTATACGGTTTATCAACCCTTTGCAGGTTATTTAAATCTAGTAAATATTTTTGGATTAGATTTCTTTTGTGATAATAATGATTTAGTGATACAAGTCTTACTAAATAACCCATTGCTGGGGGTAGAAGAGGTGGATCCATACATTTTCCAATATCGAACCTAACTGAAATTGGAACTCATCTCCCCGATTAACAATTCCGAGACATAATTCATTACATCTCCCGCACATCTAAGCATACAGCACTAGATATTTCCAAGCGGTCATCTATCTAGACACTGACCAGTCTCGATGTTGATCAACTTTGAAACGGTGTTTCAACGTGATGTGGTCGTAAAGCACATATTTTAGTATAATATATGTTTGTGAATTTCACTTTTATATATAAAATATTTTTATTTTGAAACAAATTTCTTTGAGTTATTCTAGTATTTCTTTCCGTCTTATTTAGCTGCTATTATATATATATGCTATATATATGCCTACAGTGGGCTTTGGAGAATGAAGAAAGCCAAGATATTTTTCTCTTTCCAAGTACCCCCTTAATCTTATATTTATTATAAATGTTGGCAAACTGTTCTCGTGTGGGTGACTGATGCAATACAGTCTTACTACACATTTTATTATCTGACTCAGGATAGGAAATAGCAGATGGTCTTGATCGAATTTAATGTCAATAAGGAACCTTTGCTCTAAGAGACGTTAATCTGTGGTTACCTCCAACATATAGTGGGCTCACTCTAAGAGAAACCAAAGTAGACATGGCACTCGGTGTCACAACAGAAGGTCTAAGTGCGTCAGACATAGAAAGTAGCCTCATTTCCCCACCTTGTGTAAAATTAAACTAAAATTAATAAATATAAAACATGATCTAGTATCCCTAGATGACCAGAGATTGGCAGCTGATCACTCCCCAGATCTAGCTCTAACATCTCAGTAGTGGAAAAACTGGCTGGTTACATTTAAGCCTCGAAAATCAAACTAGTTACATTCCATCATCTCCGATCGGAGCCTGAACTACCACCAGTCATGATGAATGGATGTTGCCTTAGGGAGAACCCGTGCCTTGAGCAACGATTGGGTTTTAAGTTTAAGACCTCGTACATACGATCCATCGCTAAAGATGCAGGAAAAATGATCGGTTCCCTGTTCCGTTCCAGTAAGTATCTGACTCTTCGTGTTATCCTCTAACTTTTCAAGATCAGGTTGTAGTATTTGGGCATCTGGTGTTAATGAGGCTACTTTCTATGTCAACATTCTGACGGACCTTCTGTTGTGACACCGAGTGCTATGTCTACTTTTGGTATTTCTTAGAGTGAGCCCACAGACGAAATGTCGCAAGCCTCTGACTGCTCTACCTCTACTTCCATGAAAAGAGCTCAGACGAACTACATTCCTTAGTTCCACCAGTTCTAACCTTCACAGCTAGAACCCATCATGCTACATGCATTGCAGTGAAACATACTCAGTATTTCGAACCACTATGGAACCGACTCCCAAGAAAATGTTTTCCCGATCACTACAATCCTAACCTATTCAAGTCTAGAGTTAACCATTATCTTCCCCATCTATCCCCATAAACTGTAACCCTTACTAGGTAAGTTCAACAGAAAAAAAATACCATGGAATTATTTATAGAATGGGTACAGGGAAGCTACAAACCACATGTGGCAGCAATAGTCAAGTCAAAAACGAATGGTAGAATTATAGATATGTAAGTTAGATTTTGAAGAGAAAAATATTCTAGAACGAGACAGTAAACTAACTTTCCGAGCAGTAGACCTAGAAAGTGATTCAATATAAAATTTCCACTTCATGTCAGCGGAAAACGTTTATATATCCCATGAATCTCATTTTTTTAATGTCCTCATGAAAATATTTAATAATAAGTTCACATGGCACCATTATATTGTCAAAATTTAAATCTATCCTCATAAACTGTAACCCTTACTCTGTAACCCTCTACCTCGACTGGCTCCCGGGTGTACAGGGTAAACCTCACTGTAAAAAATAAAATCTCTTTAGCTGTTTTAGAATCTTATTTATTTACTTTTACGAAAGCCGCTCCGAAAGTAAAGTCTCTTATTATTATGTCAGCCTACGAGGCCAAAATGTTGGGGGTATAACAGTAAAGATTGAAACTTCATAATTTGTATATTAGAAAATGAATAACTGAGTAGATTAAAAAAAACTGTTAGTAAAATATTATTATTATTTACATAATTTCGTACGCCTTGGTAGAAATAAAAGCAGAGCAGCATTCTGGTAAAATAGCATCTGGCATGAAAATGCGTACAAAAGAGGTTGTTTTGATTGATCCGTT